TGGTCCAGGTATAAATGACGGTGTCAAGGAAGGAAAGACGTTCCAGAGTTCTCCCAGTCACACGCCCTTACGTAAAAAACAGTGACAGTCCAGACAAGCTGCCACTAGACCAAGGTCTCCCCAGAAAGGGAGTGGGAGCGGGTGCTATGGAGCGATACGCTCTAGGGCAGCGACCTTCAACCTTTTCCATCTCAAGGCACATAAACTAATTACTAAGATTCTGCGGCACACCAAAAAATGTTATATTTTTTGCCGATCTGACCAAAAAAATAGGTTTATTTTTATTTACTCACACCGGACAGCTATTGTTGTATTGGCTGTTGTCATTTCTTTTTTTTTTCTTCTTCCCCCTAATCTAAGGGAAATTGGTCAGTGCCCCTGACTAAATAGTCAGGTATTGCATGTTTTAACAGTTCTTGCAGCACACTGGTTGGAAATCGCTTCTCTAAGGCTGTACTAAAAATGAGTACACTGAGCATAAAGGTCTCTCACATTTGAGAACGGTAACAACAAGAAGCAAGAATAAAAACCATTATTTTCATCATCGGTGCCCAGGACAGTGCAGGAAAGGTGTGCAGGAAGGGTTTTGCACTTTGGCCCCCGCTCCCACAGCTCCTTCTTTATCTTTTCTTGCTCTTTTGTTGTTGTTCTTAAGTGTTCCTTTCCATTGCCAGATTTTTGTCAATATTTAGGAACTAATACAACTATTTCAGTACTCCTTAGACAGGAATGCGAAAACCTGGAACTGGCCTGGTATGTCTAAAACAAAAACGACATAAAAATTTGACCTAGTAATTGCCTTTCTTGAAGAGAAGCAATGTTTCTCAACCCCACATAACCATTTTAATGTGTCTGATATGCATGCTTTGTTCTTTTAAAAATGTGTTAGTTGGAGGAAAGCAACAAACATTATTATTATTATTACCATTATTATTATTTGTCAATGATAAAAGTCAAGCTTTCGAGCAAAACTTAGAATATTGGAAAACTTGTAACAGCTACCATGAGCTTGATAGCTTTTAGCACATGGAAGACATTTCTTGAGATGACTGGTAATAGCAAAGAAAGGTGATAGTCTAACAACGTGTCAGCATTTGGAAGATATGCATGGCTCGGTGAACCTCTGTGTTCTAAACAACCATTGAACGATGATATTTTACACACGAGTAAAAGATCTATTCAAAGCACAAAATAGACCAATTGATTTCAAAATACCAGAGCATAAAAAATTCATTTGACTTCAGATGCTACATTTATCTATTTATTTCAAATTTTTATTCTGGTAAATTACACATAAAATTTATCATCTTAACCACTTTAAGTGGTAAGTCCGGTGGCACTAAATCATTCATACTGGTGTGCGACATCGCCCGGGTTGGGGGCCCAAGCCGGTGCATGAAATGAAGAATATGCAGGTCAGGCCTGCTGAGTGAAGAGGCACAGGCCGCCCACAAGAGGCTGACAGGTCGCACCGGAGCCCCCTTCGGGGAAATGAACGCCCCAGGGGTCGTTTTGATGAAAGGCCATTTCCATACACTCCCGCAAGGAAAGGCAAGCCTCAGCTTTGTTCCTGACAGGTCCTGGAAGGGAGAGGAGCGGGGCGCCGCGAGCCGGGAGGGCGGCGCTGCACCGGGCTGAGGCCGGGGAGAGCAGCGCAGCACCCGCTGGGCAGGGCGGTGGGCAGGCCTCACTGGCTCCGCGTGGGCTCAGCTCTCCAGGTGCCCAGGAAAACCTGCGGTAGGAGCCCTAAGCTCGGACCCTAAGGAACTGTCCAGGCTCTGGGTGAGCAGAGCTGCCCTCCCCTAAAAGGCCTAGGAAGCAACTCAAAACAGCTGCTTTCTCGTCACAGCCACCAGCCATCTCCAGAGCCTTTTTCATCTTGTGAAACTGCAGCTCGAAGCCCATTGAACCAGAGCTCATTCCCTCCCAACCCCAGCCCTTGGCAACCACCGTTCTGCTCTCTAAGATGCTGACAACTCGAAGGATTTCACAGAAGTGGAATCATAGTTTGCCTTTTTGTGACCGGCTTTCCACTTAGCCTCGTGTCTTCAAGGTTCGTCCACGCTGTGGCGTCAGGATTGCCTTCCCCAGAGGCTAATGCCCCGCTGCAGGTGCGAGCACGTTTTAAAGCTTACCATCCGCCAGCTGCCGGACGCCGGGGTTGCTTCCATGTTTCAGCCACTGTGAATAATGCTGCTATGAACATCAGTGCACGACTACATTTTTAATAAACAGCTTTGAGATATATTTGACACACAGTAAGTTGCACATACTTCAAGAGTACTTCATACGTTTTGATGTGTACATGGTAAACATACCCATGGCCCCCAGCGTTTTATTATCCCTCTCATTCATCCATTTTGAGTAATTTTTTTATATGGTGAGGTAGGAATTCAACTTAATTCTTCTGCTTGTCAGTATCCAGTTGTCCTAGCATCATTTGTGGAAGACTGTTTCCCTATTGAGTAGTCTTGGTACCCTCGGCTGAATATCTGTCTTTTGAAGAGCAGGAAAAATTTTGATGAATTCCCACTCATCAATTTCTTTTATGAATTATTTTTGGTGTCATATTGGATAATGCAAAATCAGTTTCTTCTGTTTTCGTAGTTTATAGTTTTAAGTTTTGTATTTAGGTCTATGACACATTTTTCATTTTTATACAGCATGGCCTATAAAGTGGAATTTCGCATATATTCAATTATTACAGCATATTTTTATTCTTTGTATTTTGTCAAAATCCACTTGTCCATGTACATGTGAATCTACTTATAAACTATGTTTCACCGATCTCTTTGTTTATCTGTATGCCACTACCAGTCTTGATTTCTGTAGCTTTATTTACAAGTCTTAAAATCAGGTAATGTGTTCCAATTTTATTCTTTCAAAGTCATGTTTAGCAATTCTAGGTCCTTTGTACTTTCATATGAATTTTAAAGTCAGTTTCTACAAAAATTTGGCTGTTGATACTTGATTGGGATTGTGTCAAATCTATAGATTTGGGAAGAAGTGGCATCTTAGTATTGTCTTCTGAACTATAAGCATGGTATATCTATTCAGGTCTTTCAGGAATGTTTTAGATTTTTCAATGTACAAGTCTTCCACATCTTTTGTTAGACTTATCTCTAAGTACTCCATATTTTTAAATGGTGATGGATGGAGACCTGACTTTGGGTGAACACAAAACAGTGTACAGATGATGTGTTGTAGAATTGTGCATCGGAAACCTTTGTAATTTTGTTAACCAGTGTCACCCCAATAAACTCAAGGAAATAGAAGCATTTGTAAATAGTATTTTATTTCAATTTCATTTGTTGCTAAACATGGAAAGTAACTTACTTTTATATATCAATGTTGTATCCTGTAATCTTGGTAAATATATTACTCCCAGTAGCATTTTTTATAGATTATATTGACTTTCTAAATAGGTGATCGTGTTGCCTGCAAATATAGTTATGTATCTTCTTTTCAACCTAGAAGATTCTCATTTTTTTCTTGCCTCATGAACCTCCAGCACAATATTGAATACAAAGAGTGAGAGCAGACATCACTGTCTTGTTCCCAATTTTAGGAAGGAAACAGACTTTCACCGAATCATGTTACCTGTACTTTTTTTTGGTAGATGCCCTTAATCAGGTTGAGGAAGTTTCTTTTCAATCTATTAATAATGTAACTTTTCTTTTACAGTTGTTGATATAGTGAATTTCATGGACTTTCAAATGTTAAAAACAAACTGCATTTTTGGGATAAACGCCATTTGGTCATGATGCATCATTCTTTTTACATAATGTAGGACTTGCTTTGCTAGAAATTTTGCACTTATGCTCATGAGGGATACTGGGTTTTAGTTTTCTTTCAATGTCAGTTTCTAGTTTTATTATCTGGATAATGCTCACTTCATACAATGAGTTGGGAAACAGTCTACCTCTTCAATTCTCTGGAATTGTTTGTGTAGAATTAGAATAGGCTAAAGGAACTCTAGAGGAAGCAAGTGGTAGGCAGGGAAGAACTGAAGCAAGGGTAGAGATATCCAAAGCATAGTAAGAAGAGTGAAGTCACTTTAGAAAAAGATACTCAGTTCATTTCTTACATAGAAAGCTTACCTAACAGTCATGTGTCGCATAACGTTTCAGGCAATGATGACCACATATATGACGGTGGCCCCATACAATTTTAATGGAGTTGAAAAATTTCCATCACCTAATGACTTCATAACTCTCTCAATGTGGTAGCATAACACGTTACACGAATACTTACCACTGTGTTACAACTGCCTACAGAATCTAGTAGTTAACATGCTATACAGGTTTATAGCTTAGGAACTGTAGAGGAACAGAATTTGTTACCCCCAAATATGTTTCTTTGGCATAAGGGTTATTTCAGGCTGGATAATTTTAAGAAATAGCAGACATGGGAGAAGTGCTAAAAACCAAGTAGAAGTTACCCTTTGTAAAAGACACATTTGTAAGGGAAATCTCCAATTGTAAGGGTGTCTCTCTCCCTGTACCAAGAAGTGGGGGATAACTTGATCTTTAGAAACTCTTACCAATGTAGAAGGCAACCATTTAAATCTGCATAACAGACTTACCCTTGCTTACAGTGCTTTCCCTGACACCCTTGCATAACTGACTCTCCCACCCCCAACATCTTCTGTCTTTAGCTGAAGATACTTAAGGTGGTGGCTTCAGCCATTTTGGCAAGTTACTCAATTTTCCTGGGTCTTTACTATGTATATAGGAGATATCCATGTTATTACATTTTGTTTTTTCCCTGTATTTATTTACAGGGATATCTCAGCCAATAACCCAGTGGGGTAGAGGAAAATTATTTTTCCTCCCTAAAAAGCAACAGGCTGTATCATCACAAAGCCTGGGTGTGTGATAGACTATACCATTTACTGTATCACACAGCCTAGGTGTATAACAGGCTATACTATACCATCTACGCTTAAGTTACATTCTATGATGTTCACACAGTGATAAAACAACTTAAAGATGCATTTCTCAGAATGTATCCCCATCAAGTGGTACATGACTGTATTTATTTAGGTTATTATATTTTCTTAGACGAATAATAAAGGTTACCTAGAATGTGTTACTCTACTGGACAGGGATGAGCAAAAGTAGGTTTACAGTTGTGAGAAGCATGTCAAGAAACTGATGACAATAAAGAACTCTGTGCCAAAGTGTGCTTGAGGGTAGCAAGTAGGCTACAAGAATGTGTAAATAATAAAGGCCGGCCATTTGAGCACTTACAAGGTTGTACCTAAGCACCTGTGCCATTGTGACATTCTTTTGAGTTAATAAAGCTATTGTAATCATCATAACCTGCATCTTCTCCATACGAACTGTAAACCTACTTTTGCCCACTCATATATATATGAAAATACAATTTTTAAAATGATGTCTCTATATAGCAATACCTTAAAATGCATTTAATTATTTCCATATCATCATAGTTAAAAGACACCTGAATAGTGGTAAACAACTTAATAGGCATTTCACATTTATAACTTTCCTCACATTCATAATAGTTGACAGGTATCGACTATTTCCTTCACATTTTAAAGCCATTTGGGATGAATGAAGCATCATTACTGCCCTTATGCCCTCTGCTTAGATTTTACTTCTGGCTTAGCAAATTCCAAACAGGCAAAAAGAATAAAAAGAATAACAAAGAATAACAAATTAATAAAGTCAGTAAATTAATCAAGGACAATTACATAGAGAAAAACACAAAAGATGTTCTCATTTTTATACCCTAGAAGGATTCAGTCTTCAATACAAGAAACAATCAGTATCAATGCACTTTTACTTTTTTTAGTTTTATACTATAAAATAATACCAAAGCAAACGAGTTATTTTAGGTACTAATTAATACTCTGAAGGAAATGGTGCAATTGTTTAGGTATCCATCAGAATGAAAGGAATCCCTCTAATCCCAGTACAGCTTTCACTTGCCTTGTGACTTTCCGAATAACAGTATTCATTTCTCATCTATACAACAAAGAAGCTGGATCAATGATATCTAAAGCTTCTGACAGTTCTAAATGTTAATGATGTTACATTACTTATGTAGCCAACCCACTTTTTTCTAAACAAAACTTAAGTCAACATTTTCCCGAAAAATGGTGGAAAGTTTCCAAAATGCATCACATTTTAGGAAATTCAAATTCAAATCTGTATTTCAGACCAGGAAATGAAAACAGTAATTTCCTTACAAATAAACTGAGTCCTTTATTTCCTACCAACCATGCTCCTAAGAATATGAAAGTATTAAACTTTAGAAATGTATAAAAATCTTAAGGAACAGATACTGAAAGTAAGAACTATTTAAAAAATAGTCCCCTTTAACTTAGTAGGTTGAAGCTTTGTATTAGGAAAAGCCTTATTACAACAAAAAATTAAGTAGATAACCTATTTTTTGACAATCCTCTGCAATCACAGTATTTAAAAAATGTAACTCCTTTCCTCTATATAATTCTACTACATAACTGTTAACTTCCCTGAACTTCCAAAACTTACATGGAATTATTTTCATATATACCTTCTCCAAGGAAAGATTTCACTGACCAATGCAAACATGATTTATTAAATAAAGAAGTCCATGCTTTATAACTTAGCATTAAATTTCTCACAGAGAAATCAAGAACAATGTTTCCTATCATCGATAGGTATCAACTGTCTTTCAGTCTTCCAACCACCATTTCACTAAAGAAATCAAGTTAAGTGGGAGCTGCCTTTACAGATGATGCTTTGGCCATTCTTCGAACCAGTGCTTCTTGTCTTTTTCTCTTAATTTCTTCAGGAGAATACTTTCTATTTTTCTCTTCTTCCTCTAAAAATGAAACAAAATACAGACACTAGTTTTATAGACTATAAAGTCATTCTTAACATGAGTTTTAATTTTTTACCTTTTTATTACCCAGACTTGCCACATTGGTTTGGCTATTAAATCACACTGAACAACTAAATATAAGATTCCAAGTACAGACATAATGCTGTATAAAAGAAAACCAATCATCGATCAGCCTGTCCCTATGTGATGCATTCTTTTTATAGTGTGAAAAAATTCATTTGATGGTGCATTCTGACTACCCAGCAAATAATTCTTGTGAAAAATGACATCTAATTTATATAACTAACAAACAAATACATTTAAGAAACAAACTGGGATTTTTAAATGTAAAGTAGTTAAAATATAATGAATTAGATACCAATACCTCAAATAGTGTATTTATAAGATAAGGTGTATTCATATTCACCTCTATAGAACTCCAAGACTTCATTTCAGCCATTCAGGAGAAATATTTTAGCATGATAGAGTGAAATCCAGCATGTCAATAAACATGTAACTCACTGTCAGATATTATCTTTTTATTTGAAGGACACATTTTATATAAACATTAGAAAATTATTTTAAAAAGCAAAATATCTGACTAAAATCTTCAATTTGAATGTCTTTCTGGTATATAAAAACGTGAAGCATTCTGATATATATATTCTTATGCAGCAAACTTTAGTATATACTTTAGATAAACATACTATACAACAATGTTTCAAGTTAAATAATGAAAATAAGTTCTATTTTAACAAAACATCTAATTCTACCTCTGCAAAAATGCTGAGTTCTAATATAATGAATTTAATTCAATAGTTAAGTCACAGCTAAAATAATAGATTATATTAATAAAAATCAAACTTTAAACAGCAAACCTATTTCCTCATTTAAATGTTTAAAAATTAAAACCATTACCTTAATACAGATTTAAGTGACCTTGTATTATATTCATAAAACTATTTATATTGTAAAATCTGCTTTTCGGAGAAGTAAATAAGAATCTGCAGTACTGTAGCAAAGAAATATTATTTACACTGACATGTAAACAAAGATTCAGAATTTGTTACAAGACATTTCTCTTGTTAACTAAGAGAAATATATCACCTGTCTTCCCTTTCTTTCTTAGTATATAATCTGAATGGGAGTGGATGTTCTGGGTAAGAGATATACATTTCAAATAAACTCCCTAATGATTCCGATGCCTTTTATCTCTTAAACTAATTATCTCAGAGTGTAGCTTTTTTTCCTTACAGAAAGACACTACAAGATACTTAAAATTAGGTAGGCTAATTAGCTAATATTTTAGTCTCAAACCTGAGAAACACAAAAAACTCAAAATACATACACACAAAGTTTACATTCAATTGACCACGAATTTGGAAGGAACACAGGTTAATAATCCATGACGACAGAAAAGAACATAGCTCCCTAAAATTGGCCTTACAGTTGACTTGGTGATATTCTGGAAAATAATTTCAAAGGATATAATAAGGTCACACCATGAAAATTTGATTTAGAGAGAGTCATCCATTTCTCTCATCAGCCCTTCCTTTAACTCAATCTGCAATAAAAATACATAGCAAAGTCTCAAACTATTGCAAGGTACAAAGCAAGAGTGGCTCTTAATCTTTAACCTAAGTAGGTGTTAGCAATTTTTTTTTTTTGGTAATAGGCCAGAAAGTAAATATATTAACCTTTGCAGGTCATATAATCTCTTATTCTAACTGCTCAACTCTGTCATTGCAGCATGAAAACAGCCACTGACATTACATAAACAAATGATGTGGCTCTGTTTAAACACAAATTTGTGTAGGGACAATAAAATTGGAGAAGACTATAATTTTAAAAAGTCATGAAATATTCTTTTGATTTTTCAACCATTTATAATGTGAAAACCATCTTAGCATGCCGGCTGTACAAAAACAGGCCACATAGGCTAGATTTGGACAGGCTATGGTTTGCCTACTTTCAAGGAATGAGGTTCTTAAATGGATGTTGTTTCAGACATCTGCTGAAGAGCAGTTTGCTACATAACAAAGTAAAAGGAAGTGTAAACAATAGAAATATCAACAAGGTTAATATTCTTATAATATTACATTCTATATGCCCTGGCCAGTGTGGCTCAGTTTGGTTGAGTGTGGTTCCATGCACTGAAAGTTTGCCAGTTGGATTCTCTGCCAAGGCGGGGGGCTTGATACCTGGTAAGGTTGAGTAGAGGAGGCAGCCAACTGATGTTTCTTTCTCACATCGATGTTTCTCTCTCTCTCTCTCTCTCTCTCTTCCTTCTTCTCGCTCTAAAATCAATAACAAACAAACAAACAAACAAACAAACAAAAAACCCTAGCCAGTTTGGCTCAGTGGTTAGAATGTTGGCCTGCAGACTGAAGGGTCCTCAGTTTGATTCCGGCCAAGGACACGTACCTTGGCTGCAGGCTAGATCCCTGGCCCTAGTTGGGGCATGTGTGGGAGGCAACCACCACTGTCTCTCTCACATGGATCTCCACCCCCCTCCCCGTCTCTGAAAAGCAATGGAAAAAATATCCTCAGGTTGAGGATTAAAAAAAGAAAAAAAAAGAAAAAGAAAATTAGGTGCTACAAATCAACTCAAAGGAAAAACTGATAAGGTAAACTGAAAGGCAGATTATTCATCCATAAAAAATGCAGATAGGTTAGTAGATAAAAGCTTTGGGAAAACTCAAATATTCTAGAGATTTAGTCTTTAATAAAATTATAACTATATATAAATACATTCATTTTGGGAGTATGGGTCAATTAATTACTTATTTGAATATAAATATTTAAAATTATAGACTTGACAATCCTTTCTGGTTTCTTTTAAAGACTTTTTTTTATTCATTTTTAGAGAGAGAGGAAAAAGGAGAGAGAAACATTGATGTGAGAGCAAAACATCTACTGGCTGCCTTCTGCATGTCCGCTACAGGGGATTGTGCCCTGACTGGAAATCGAACCGGCAACCGTGCATGAGACGACACCCAGCGAACAGAGTCACACTAGCCAGGGCATTGATCGACAACTGTTAAAGTTCGAAAATACCTAGTTTGGGCCATAATTAGAGATACATTCTTTGTTAGTATTGATAAGAATAAAAATTGATGTAACTGTTTGGGAAGATTTGGTTATAGCCATCAAAATTCAAAACATTCTGCCTCATCCATTTTTCAGTAATTAACAGATATAATCACAAGAGTATGCAGAAATTTATGTAGAAGGATATTTACTGGAGGATTGTTTATAATGTAAAAAGCTGTAAACAAACTACACTTCCATCAATATACACAGTTAAATTGTTACATCCATATAATGACATACTACACAGTATGATAAAAGGAATGAAGCAAATCTATATGTACTAACAAGAAAATATAGTTACAATATATTAAGTGAAGGTAAAAACAAGTTGCCAAATGGTAGGTATATAGTCTATAATCCCATCTACTTAAATAAATCTATATTTTATATGCACAAAAAATGTTACATGATGTATTCCAAACTCTTATTAGTGGCTTTTCCTGGGAAATGGATGTGGAAAAAGAGAAATAGAGGATTTTATAAAAATTTTTTTTTTAAAAGGGGAGGGATCACTTAAATAAAGTTTGAACAGTAATACCAACAAAAACATTATCTAGAATCTAAACAGAAAATAAAAATCTAATGCTAAAAGAAATGAAAAACTTTCTCATATTAGTGCTAATCTACATAACAGATAAGGGGCCTAATGTCAGCCCCAAGTGCGGGAGACTAATTAAGAAAATCTATAATTAAAAGTCAGTATACTAAATGCTGTAACAGAAGTTAGTGCTGGGTACTGGAGTAAGCCAGAGAAAGTGTATGTAAATCATTCTGAAGGTGGTTAAAAACACATTGTATTTTAAAGGACAAATGGAAAATGGCCTGGCAGATTTGGGGGTACTATTCCTGGAGAAGGAAACAGCATCTGCAGGACTAAGGCTGTGAGAAAGAACTGGGCATTAAGAGGTACTAGTAGTTACTCCAGACATCTTCCCTTGTAAAAAATATTACGATATCAGTGAATAACATACCTTTTATATTATATTACATGATGTTCACTCAAATGTTTATTATACATCCTCTAAGTGGCAGATGCTGTGGTAGGCAGAGGCACTAAGATAGTAATCAATATTTAACTGTGATTTAAAAAGGTGAAGGAAATAAGAGATATGATGGAAAATAACAAGGAAAAGTCTTACTTATAGATTATTCAAGGAAGGCTTCTGTGAGAGGGTAGGTAATACTTAAAACTGAGACCTAAGGATAGAAAAGCACCAACCCAAGGGTGGAGGTAGGGATCAAATGTTGGGAAATAGTATTAGTTGGGGATAGCCTAGTCAAAGCTCCTGAAATAGGAAATAACTTATTTTTTGGAAGAACTAAAGACTACTGGTATAGCTGAAGCTGGGTAGGTAAGGGAAAAAAGAGGGCAGGCAGGTTAAGGAGAGATAATCCAAGACCTTATAGATAACAGTGTCAAGTTCAAACTTTATTTAAAATGATGGTCAGTCATTGAAGGCTGTGGTTAAGCATAGGAATGCATTGTTTACCTATTTGTAAAAAATTATTCTGCTGTTTGGAGATTAGAACTGAAAGGGGGCAGGTAAAAGAACTGTAGTAGTCTAGTCAATAAATGTTGGCTTGGAAAAGAGTGGAAGCAGTAGAGAGTGAGAAAAATGGACAATTGTGAGATATGTTTTTTGTGGTAGAAACAATAGAACTTTTTGATGGAAAGGAGAATTTGGGAAAAGAGGAATTGGAAGAATGAAAGATGACAGGTTGTACTGAGTAATTAGAATTCTTACCACAATTAACAGAGACATATCAACTATTATACTAGATGTTTAATTAAAATGCCCTAAATTTTAAAATACTATTCACCTCAATGTTCTGCTAAACACAAGAGTAAGATCATTCAAGTTTTAAACAAGATTTTTGTAAACACAATCTCACACAGAAATATATATATATTTAAAGTACAATTTTTCAGAAAATAATTCAGAAAGCATTGAATATTTATTGAGAGCTTACTACATGGTAGTCGCTGTGTTAAATGCTGATAAAGAATCTGATGCAGTCTTTTGAAAACATAAGTCACCCACTCGTTGTATATTATAATTATTTGTAAGAATCACTTTATGACTTCTAGTTAAACATCATCATTTTTATCTTACATGTTATGCAATTCCAATACAAAAAAACTAGTTTGGCTACTTTCCAATATGATAACCTTTCAAAGAAAATGATTTCATACATACCTTTTGAAGGTTGTTTCAAAGATTCAGAAGGTTTCACCAAAGATTGCTGTTGAACAGCCTTCCCACATAATGAGTCGACAGTTTTGTTTTTCTCCAAACTCTGTATAATTTTGGTATCAGGGATACTTCCTGTTATATGATTTTGATTAATCTGGGAAAGAATCTGAGAATTTTTGATCTTTGTAAATGTATACTTAGAAAATCTAACTGTTCTGTTAAGGTCACTCTGAGCTTCGTCTGTTATGGTCCCATGGGACAGAGACCGAGTATTCAATTTCTTCTTATAAGTAGCCATTTCTGTACTCATATGATCTGAATTCACACTGAAACTTGAACGTCTTGTAACAACTGATTTGGAACTATTCACTTGTACTGGAACATCAGTATTATTCCAAGAGACAGGCAGGTTATTGATCAGACAATTTGAGTTCTTAGAGTATATAGTCAAATTTGTTGTAGCACCTAAAAAACTTGGAGAATTTCCACAAATTTTCCTTTTCTGCATCTTCACTGATTGATTGATTTGTGAGCTATCTGTTAATGAAGATGATTGTGCTGAAACACTGCTCAGATTCAAACATGTTGATGGCACCAATTGACTTCCTTGTTTAGACATAGGAAACGTGTTTTTGGCTCCATGTTTGGAACTATTACCAATGTCAAGTATACTTTCTGATGTCTTGCTATCCTTTCTCATGTCTTGTTGCTGAGTTAGTTTTTCAATATCATCACATGCTTGGTATAATAAGTCATCCTCTACATCATCAGTGTCCCAGGTATTCTCTAACTGATGACATGCTTTAACAATTTCATTGGCAAATGATGGGTCATTCCAATCATCAGACAAAGAACCTAACTTTGATGCATTAGTCTCATTTGCATTGCCCAAAGCAGCAGAGCCAAAAGGAAGTATATTAGCAGGCGTTTTGAAAGAATGATTAAAAATGGACTTATTTTTTTGTTCATTAGAATATCCTGTGTTCAAAGTAGACATTTTTCCAGAAGCATTTACATTGTAAATAAATTCAGTATGAATACCTTCCTTTCCTTTTGTCAGATCAGACGCAACTGCACAATCTTGAGTTTTGTCTTGAGTGATTTTATTGAAAGGTTTCTCAAATTTCATTTCATTTCCAGTGGGTAGTAATCTGTTTGGTTTATCACTTGAATTTGGTGAAAATCTATATTTTCCAGCATCTATTAATTCATTGGTATGTGTCTTTGAAGAAACATTTCCTAAAATTTTTGAATCTCTAAACCCAGCATCTAAGCTTATATTCATTCTTGAGTTACTTTTATCATTTTTACTGTTAAAAGTACAAATTTCTTTTTGATCAACCATCTGGGTTGTTTCAGGAGCAGAAAAAGGTTCAGACATTTCTATATTTTCCATAACAAAAGGTTCATTATTTAGTAAATTTTCCCATTCATCTTCAAAATCACCAGCAGTAAATGCATCCACGTGCTTAAAAACTTCTGGCTCCTTAGTACTGGAAGTCATACAAGATTCTGTCGTTCCAGGAGCACCCACCTGATGAGAAAGTGCTGCTGGGGGTTTACTCGGCAGTTTTTCCGGAACCTGAGTTTCATTAGTAATGATTTCCTCCTCTTTCAAGGCACTTGTCTTTCCAAAGGTAGTATTAACGGTGCTCCACAAGGCATCTGACAGATCTTGGCTTAAATGTCCACTGCACTTCTGAGTAGAACCATCAAAAATGGCATTAAAGGCTGCTTCGGCATTTTGGTCAAATGGCTTCTGACTGCTATATTGATCATTTACCACACGAAGTACCTTCGTGTTTTCTTTCATTGGCTTCTTTATTATAACATTATCTATTTCTGGAACCATGTCATGTAATAACTGCATCTGTACATTATAATTATTTAAAGTCTCTGCTTCTGAAATCATCCAGATAAAATCATGATTTCTCTTGTTTTGCTCTTGAATCACATCAAGCTCTTCCATATTTTTATCAAATTGCTTGGCCAATTTCATAAGTTCTTCCTCTTGATTTTGTGTTTTTAACCTATTAAACAAATATTTAAAAGTTATAAAAAAAGTTCTTACAGAGTTATTATAAATACTCAACTGCTATTTGACACATTTTAATATGCCAAAACTTGAAAATTTTAACACATTATGATTATTTTAAATCCAAAATTTTACATGTCAAAACTAAGGAAAAGTTTTTGTTATATTTACAAAACCAAAGCAATTACTGAATACATTTACTTCACCGAATGTCAGAAAAACTAAAAAGTCTGAACTTACTTTGTGCAGCTGAGTTTTGCTCTTGATTTTCCTTTAGCCACATGAGGAGTACAAGGGATAGCAGTTTCACCAATCCACACATCGAGCATGGAGTCCGTGGTTGGTTTTTCATCCTTTGGCAGAAGGGGAAAAAGGAGGTGAAATCCAAAAAGAGAAAGAAAATTTTAACTACGTTAAATTGTTTTCCTCAAGTAATAAATTCTGGTAAGGTGATATTTACTAAACAATCTCAAAACAATAAGAAGCTGGAAGATGGTAATAACAAATTGCAAAGAGTGATACATTTATATTTCAGGGAATGGAAACGTTCAGAACTGGGAATTCCTTATTTTAAAAAAATGTTAAGTTTTAGTGATTTGATTATTTGACAAATGCATATTTAATAATAAAAGCACATTTTTATCAAAGGAAAGCTGATCAAGTTATAAGATACTCATAAAAATGAACATCAGTATTAGAAATAAACTGTATAGTAGACATCATGATTTAAGAATAAAGAAAGATACATGTAGAATTCTTTCTGTGTCACTTGATTCTCCAAATTTTCCCTATCCCCATTACAATCTTTATCCCAAGTTGGACAGTCTCTATTGACCTGAATTAAGAACACTTAGATAGAATTAAGGTCAGGACTGAGTCAGAGATGAGTATAAGGTTAGAAATGATGTAATGAGTAAGGTAGGGAAAAAGCCATTTTAGTCTTGTATATTTTTGCTATGTCTTTCAGTTACCTGAGCATGTAAATTATTGGGAGAATGAGGTTATGCATTAGTTACAAACCAAACCAACAGATCAAATAGATTAACCATTTTCTATTCTATTTTTATAGTACCTAGAATGAACATAAATATCACACAAAGTAAAAATAATCTTATCACTACATTATAGGTTACTTGAAGGCAAGAATTATTCTTATGATAGTTCAGCCTCTAGCAAAATGCTGGGCATAAAGATATCAGTTCATGTTTATTTACTAGAATCCTTAATTGATCAACAAGCAGTTTTCTTAGATGGTAAGCTGATCCTAGTAGATTTTAGCTTTGCAAAACACTAAAAAACAAACAAACAGGCAAAAGCATTAATTTCACTTTCAGTATTATTTTTCCCTTTTGTTTCAATAATTTTGATTTAGGAAAAACAACATTCTTAATGATTTAATTATGGATTTTTTGTCCATTTATCACATAATTTTACACTCACTCAATTTTTAGAGAATGAAAGTATGATAACTTTATTTATCCAGTTTTACATAGATATGGTTCCTTTGTATATTTTTTTATACTATTTGTGTTGTATTTTTAAAATTTCTTCATTAATAATTATACAATACAATCCAGGTGCTGTATAAGATATCTAAACACTTTATTTAATCCTAAAGAGTACACACTATGTAGTTATAAAAATGATGGAAAAGATATCCCCCATCTTCAAACCAACACTGCATAAAAAATATCCTTGAAGAAAATTAATGTCCAATTAAAATGGAAGTGCGTATATATTTTTAAATGTCATCTCTGAGAATATTAAGGTGATTTAAATAATTATTTGAGGAGGAGAACTCACCTATATATAAACAACATGAATATGTCATTTTGAGAATACTTTTTAAAGCTTTTAAAATGAACTTGATACTACCAAAGATTTATGTTTTAAAACTACTCAGTTGAAAAGGTTAACATTTAAAAGCAACTAATTTCATTGTATTTTTTCTTATACACAAGTTACCACTTGTATACTGTTGCCATTTCTTTATGTGAGCTATTATTTCCAGCCCACTTAGGTAAAGAGTCCAATAATTTACTCAACTATCTTTTTATCACTATTTAGGCTCGCCAGCCCAAACACATTTTATTATGCTTCTTTCATGTGAAACTCACAATTAATGAAGCTCTATTGTTAACTCATGAAGTAAGTAGTATTATGGCATAAATGCTATTTAACTAATGAACCATACGGAAAATGAATTTCTATGACATGCCAAACATGGAATGTAGAGCTAGTAGCAACAGAGTTGTTTTGACTATCATAGTTGTAATTTTGGATATTTTATAGGCATTAAGAAAAGCTTTATTTCCTGTCTCCTCCACCTGGATTATGGTGATTCTGTGTAACCACAGTTTGGGTTAGAGCCATCTATTGTTTTTGGTCAACATATAGTCACTATCCATTGGTGTGTCAAGGAAAAATATACTTCCTACAGAGAAGACACTAAGCAATAATTGGGTTTTCTGGATTTAAATTTGTTAAATAAGTAAAAAAGAGAGGAATGTAAAGAGGTTCAGAACGGAGGTTGACTTAAATTATATTTCTATTCACTCAAGCAGTACAAGAAATTAAAGAAAAATAAACCTTTGCAGATGGTTCTATTACAGGAAAATAATTTAACTATCATAACTAACTTTAACATAACCTCATATTTACAGTGTTCTATAGTTTACGAAGACATGTTATCTAATATAATCCTCATAATAACTCAATACAGAGAGTAAGACAAGTAATTCTAGTTTATGGCCATATGAACTGAAGTCCTGAGAGCTTATGTGATTTGCTTAAGGTGACCCAGTATAGAAGGTGGTCTGAGAACTAAGTCCAAATTCAGTTTTTCCCACTTTTACACTGTTTCTTGATCTTGTCAATCAACAATATTAAGAGCAGTTTCAATGGGAAAAACTTGCACTATAGACAGTACACAATTACCAATCACAAAAAACTTATGTTTAAATTTTTGTTGTCCGATTCTATTACTTTAGTAACTTGAAAATGGTGCAATACACTGTTAAACAGTATTAAAAACAAAATAAACACAAAGTTCTAGTCAAAAACCATCACTCTAAAAGATTATAATAAGGTGACAGAAGATGATTTGACTTTGGATGGTGGGCACACAGTGCAATATACAGAGCTTATAATTATGGAATCCCACACCTGAAACTTATATGATCATATTAAATCATGTCACCCCAATACATTTAATAAAAAATAAAATTAAGGTATTATGTTTAGGAAAATGTAATTACCAATTTTACATTGTTTCTTTTTTCAAAATATGCATTTCAGTAGTAGAAAGGGTATCAGTAATATCTGCTGCTCTATTTTTGGCAAAGAGAATTGTAAAAGATAAAACATTTTTGATAAAAATGAACCACACAAGGGCTTAGTGGCATAAAATAAATTATACAACTAGTGATACTTACCTGAGGAGCAATACAGTTAACAATATGTGAGATCTCATCACTATCTGTGGCGTAAATCTTTTTTTTTCTTCCTTTACCTAAAGAAAGAGACATGTTTCTATAAATGTAAATAAAAACTGATTTTAAAAAATAGGGGTCACTTCTTAGGAAACAATTTTAATTAGCACAGCTTCGATCACTATGCACTCTGATATTACATGCACATCATAGCAATACAACCAGATAAAAGTCTCACCAAACAGATATGGGAAAGTTCCTGATGTTGTTCCCCTACTGAAATTCAGTAGTTAAATCCTAATCACTTCACAAATAGTTACCCTGGTAAGAATGTTAATGACACATTACCTAACTGTTTGGTCATTGGAGAATTTTGATCCCAGAAGATATCATTCTGTCCATCTGGATCATTAGGAGAACTGAAGGCAGATGACAATAAATCCATTTTCAGCACCCTCTTTGGTGTTTCATACTTTTCTACACAAAACAAGATTGAAACAGCAGTTGTTGCACTTTAAAGCATGGCCTCATAATGCCCCAGTGTCAACTAGTAGCTCTTAACAAGATTACATTTTATAGTCCAATTGTACAATTTTCTCCCTGAGATGGTTTAATATAAATTACAATTGAAATATTGGTTTCACATTAAAAAGCCCTTCTAATACTTCCCAAAGTTAACAATGTAAACAGCAAGTGTGTTAAGATAATCTAGTGGGTCTACAGACGTGTAACACTGTATACCCTGCTCCCTCCTCTTTACCACCGGAAGTCGGAGGCCTTGGGAGCCACCCGAAAGGTCCAGGCCGGGTTCCACCCCCACGAGCGTCCCAGCGGAAACCCGGGCGCAAATCTGCTCAGCCCGCTTTCGCCAGCTCTGTCCAGCTTACAACCAATTACTTTAAAGAGCTTTAGCGATCCACTTCTTGGAAAGTTTTGCCTGGTATCGCTTTTTATTTTTATTTTTTAGGGGTTTTTGTTCATGCTGGTGTTGCTTTATGGGAATAAACTAAAGGGAAGGGGGGGTAACAAAAACCGTGTGTTGAGAACTCGCTGTAGGAAGACAGCTTTAAGTGTGGGTTTCCGTTCCCACCTGGATATATTAGAAATCTTTCAAACACGGGAACACCGACAACAGATCAGAAACGAAGTATTGGGGGGTGGGGGGTACTGTGAGGGGCGTTACACAGAGAAACTTCCGGCTTGTTCCTCAGGAGCTGAGACGTCGCCGAGGCTCTGAGGACAGAGTAGACCTACGGCGTTCCACAGGCTCCCTTCTCTAAAGGAAGTTGGGGCAAAACGTTTAAGCGGAAATAATTCCCGCAGGAATAAGCTGAAGGCGACAGGGCTATCGGGTATTTCTCCACGGCCCGCCGCTGCTGACGACTGCGAGCAGCAGCCCGGAGACTGGCCGCCCTCCCTACCTCCCCGCCTCCCTCCAACAGGTAAACCCCACACGACACTATTCCTGTGGCAGAGGCGACAAGTGGGTGACCAAACCTCAGGGGGCAGTGCTCAAATTCGGGGACCAGCGCCGAGGGGAAGTGTGTCGGGCTAGTTTTGGACTCCCGAGGGGAGCGGCCCAGAGGAAAGAAAACACCCTTCAGGCTCCACCCCCACTCCCACCCCACGCTTCCCAGTTGCAAGCTGGGCCGGGGGGCTGCCGTGTCCCCACGTCTCACCCTCGGGGTTACTTTTACTGCACGAAGCGGCTACTGAAGGCTGCTCCTGCTGCGGCAGGGGCTGGAGACGCCCCTCTCCGGCCCCGCGGAGCCCCGATCCGCGGGCCGACCTCAGCCGCCTCTTCCCTGACTCGACCACCGAGCTGCATTCCTCAGCCGCCGCCGCCGCTTGGCGCTGCGTGTCCTTCAGGCCAGGACTGTCCCCAAATTTCCTTCGCCGACTCATTGCCTAGCACCCCCTCCACCAACGGTTTCTCCTTTCACATTGTGCACGGGAAGAGTAGAGCAATGGAATTAGGAAAGCGACGCGGCGCTAACGGCAGTCGCCATTTTTGTCCGTGGCGCGCCTGGAAGAGGCGGCAGCTGATTGGCTGCGTCTGGCGAGGGGAGGCGGGGTCGGCGTGTGGACGCGCGCCTGCGCAGACGGCCTCCGAGCCCGCGGGGCTCCGGCCTGTGTTCTGGGCTGGAAAGGGGCGTGGGAGGGGCGGTGGCGCGCGCGGTGACTGAGCTGAAAAGACGCGAGGTGAGAAAGGATTTCACCCGCTGACATCTGTTTATTGAATTTGCAAGTAGGCTTGCACATTACGCGTTCACATTATTGTGGGATTTAGTATTTTCAAGAAATAAAAGGTGTAGATTCGGAAGGAAGCAATAAAACTGTTTTTTCATAGATGAGACCTGCATAGAAAATCCAAAAAATGTAGGGCAAAAAATTATTAAATTCATAGGTTAAGAGAGTAGCTGATACAAAGTCAATATTCAAAGATCAACTGTGTTTCCGTAGATTAGTAACAAGCAACATTGACGTTTTAAAGAAATACAATTTATTTTAACATACAAGATATCAAATAAGTAGGAATAAATTTAGCCAAAGATTGCAGCACCCCTACAGAGAGAGCTATGAAATGTTTTTGAAAGAAATTGAACACCTAAATAAACAAAGGATGAATGTATGTTGATAGGTTGCAAAACTCCATATTGTTACAATGTCCGTTCGCAGATTGATCTATAGATTAAATGCAAATCCATTCAAAATCGCCGTAGGAGTGTGTAAGTGTAATATGACAAGTTTATTTTAAAATGTGTACAGAACTGCAGAAGGCTAACAATATCCCAGAAACTCTTGAAGAATAATGAAGTTGGCTATCTACCAAGTCGCAAGGCTTACAAAGATGAGGCAATTAAGACAGAGCAACAGCGGTGAAAGGACAGACAAACTGATGAGAGAAACGATAGGAAACTTAAGACACAAACCTTTACATTAGTGGATGCTTGATTTAATATCAATTTGATATTCACACGGAGAAATAAACTTGACCTCTACCTCAAACCAAATCAAGTGCCAATTGATTATGTATTTTATTGTAAAAGATATAATAATTAACCTTCTAGAAGTTGATATAAGTTGTCTTCATGACAAAGAATGAATTTTAAATTGAACAAAAAGGTCAGCAACTATAAAGAAAATAATTATAAATTTAACTACATTAAACTGATAACTTGAGATCTGCCTGACTCAAAGACAAGATTAAAGAGAATGAAAAGCAAAGTGCAGATTGGGAGAAGATATTTACAAGAGGTAAAATTAAGGACCTTTTTGTAAAATATATGAAGAACTGATATAAATCATTAAGAAAATGATTGACTACCAGTAAGAAGACTGGGTCAGATACTTTAACAAGCTCTCTTTTTTAAAATATCTAAATAATCAGCAAACTTATAGAAAGATGCCCAACCTTATTTGTAATGAGGAAAATGAAAATTAGAACCACAATGTGATAGTCCTCTACACCCATTGGAATTGCTAAAATTAACAAGGCTGACCATAAGGGTATCAGGGAAGTAAAATGGACATGAGACCACAGCCGCAGTCTTGATCACAGCCTGTGAGAGACCCAGAGCCACAAGACCCAATCAGTGGCAACCCTCAGATACTGCTAATGAGAGTGTAACTTGGTACAACCACTTTGGAAAACAGTTTTGATCTAGCAGTCCCACTCCTAGGAATATATCCAATGGAAATGCATGGACTTGTGCATCCAGATACATTTTGTAAAACTGCTTTTAGCAGTAAAACTCGAAATGACCCCAAACTGGAAGTAAACCAAAGGCTCTTTAACAGTATAGTAGGTAAGTATTGAGCTATGTTTGCTCAACAAAACGCTACATAGTGATGAAAAGGAAAATACAGCTCCTGCAAGAATGTGGAAAAATCTCACAAAGTTGAGCAAAAGAGACCACACCCTCACCTCGTCCTTCCACGAGTGCTATAATGCAGCGATTTTCAACCTTTTTCATCTCACGGCACACATAAACTAATATCTAAAATTCTGCAGCGCACCAAAAAAGTGTATATTATATTTTTGCTGATCTGCCAGAAAATAGACATAATTTTGATTTATTCACACTAGGTGGCTGGTTGTGTTGGCTATTGTCATTTTTTTACTTGACAATCTAAGGGAAAAGAGGTCAGTGCCCCTGACTAAATAGTCAGGTATTGTATATTTTTAAAATTCTCGCAGCACACCACTTGAAAATCACTGCTGTAATGGTTACTTTGGAGAGGGGAGAAGGGACAGACTAGAAGGGGACAGAGGGAGGGGGAGTATCTGATGTGTTGTGTTTGTTCATTGTCGTGTTCTAGTTGTTGATTTTGTGATAATTCATTGAGCTGAACATGTTTTTTTGTGTACTTTTCTGTATGCATGTTATATTTATCAATAAAAACATTTTAAAATTTTAATGTAAGGCAAAAATCTTTGTTTCCATCGAGGAACCTATATGTATTTATTTGTAATTTACTGTGTTTTCATTCTTCAGTTTGGCCAGCAGGAATCCTAGAACTGAGTTTGAGGTTCAGCTCTAGCAATTGTCAGTCGTTGTGACCAAATTTCTTTTTCTTCCTCGGTCCTTGGCTTTCTACTATTTCTCTTTCCGTGACTGTTTTTAATCTACAGATTTTTAAATCATATATTTAGTTTTATATATTTATAACTGGATATGACTACGTGGGAGGTTACATCTCTTAAAATCCAAATTAACTACTTAAACCTCCAGTTTTCTAAATTAATAGGTATACTGTTATTTCTCTTGGGGATTTCTCCTACCTCTCAACTGCCCAAGAATCCCAGAAGCAGTAAAAAAAGAAAAGTCAACTGTCCATTATAACACTTTATTAAATAGATGGCATCATATCTGTCTAAAAGACTTAATTCACCCTGAAAAATACCCAACTCACACTTAGAAAATAGTTAAAGAAGTTTGGAGAATTTTATAGTGCCTATAGGAGTAATAACCATGTGGTAATCCTTTAAAGCATATTAATGCTGCAAATAAAATAACAGTGAATAATTTCCCATAACTGTCCAAATTCTCTAGTAACCAAGTAACCGTTGTAAAAAGGAACAACTTGAGTCCAAAGAGCAGACATGTGTTTTTACCTTAGCATACCCAGGATGGCTATAATTGTAATCATTATGTGGTAGGAAACTATCATAAGTTTTCACTTGAAAGTTACTTAATTCACACAATCTGTTACAGTTCTAATGTAGTTCAAATTAAATGCACTTCCTGAATATAACTCCTGAATAAGTACAGTACAATTAGCTCCTTGATAAAATGTTCTTAGTAAACAAAAGTTGCCTTGTAGACATTTGAATGCAATGTGTATGATTAAAAACCTCAAAACTTAGCATTTCTAGGCACTTGAATAATATATACATGTAAGTAAGGTTTAATACAATGAAAAACATTTTAATAATTCAAACTTAAACTCTTATTTGTTTACTTGCAGAAATTCATAAACTTCAAAGTGTTTATTAAGCAAAAAACAGACATTGAGAGTGTGTTGTAAGGAGCTCTTTTGTGGAGTGATTGCCTTGTCACTTACGTTACAATGATACTATGTGCTCGATGGATGGCTAATTGTGAGAAGTCTTTGTTTCAAGAAAGAAAAAAAAAAGAATCATAATGTGCTGTTATGTAGCACAGTATGTGTGCAGAGCCCTGCTTCAGCTCTAAATTTATCAGGATACAATTGGCAGGATCTTAACAGGCAACAAAATGAGTAGAGCATTTTTACAGTTTTGTCATCATGTTTCTAAAATGTACCCCAAGATGAACCTGCCTATGTACTGGGCCCATTTTTCCTCAGTCCTGACCTACAAGCATTTGTCATTGAAGTCACCTACCCTGCTTATCCCTCTCCTGAGGGCACTGCTGCCTCAAGAGCTTCTACTGCCTGTGTGACTCAGGTCCCACAAGGTGTCCCCAAGCAGGTAAAACTGAATGGGCTAGAGGTGAGCACTTGACTTTAGAAACCAATCTGTAGGCTTGCTTTCCACCTGACTGTCACAAAAGATACATGGAGAGGGACCTATTTCCTCTTAGAGATCTGAAGTAAGAATTTGTTAGACGGCCTTGTGCAAAACCATGGGGGCCCAGAAACTCTGAGGAACCTCACTGATAGTGGAACAGAAAGAACTCGAAAGTTACGCTGACAGAGCCATTGGAATGATTGAACATCTACAGACTCCACATACTTGGAAACTGAGCAACCATTCAGCTGCAGTGTCCCTAAAGCCAGGTTCCACTGTAATTCCAGCCATTTGTTTTTCTCTTTCAATGCAAACCCTTTACAGTAAATTTTTTTTCTTTGAGCTAATGCCAGGCAGTCTGTATTCCTTATATTCCTCATAAAAGCTGAACTAAAGCAAAGCTTGGGACCAAGGGTTTTTGTCTAACTGTTTCTCGATTTTTATTGGAAGGCACCAGTTGGGAACAGAGAAATGCCAGCTGCAAAAATGCTTTTATTTTAAATGCTGTTTGCAAAGCATGATGCCAAAGCCATTCTTAAGGACAAGATGGTTATTGTAAACTGGCAAAATCACAGTTATAAATGATTTGAGCGGTTTTTGTAATAAGTTAAAGGAGTATTATTCTGAAAACTTCAAAATAGAGTATAAATATAGCACAGTCCCATCTAAAGGTGGGGCCGGGGGCTGAAGCGTCCTAGTGGTTCATTTGGAACTGAAACGATTTATAGTGGGCACTGGCTGTCATCTGAAATCACCCTTTTCTTTTTTTTTTACATTTCTTGGCTCACTGTTTTCACAAAGAGCTAAAATTTTAGAAAATGTGGACTGTGTTTGCCTTCCCAGCCCATACTCCAGAATGACATTTCAACGCTGGCTTTACCACTTTCCACAATTTTCTCCCCTTCTCAAC